CGCTCTGGAGGGGAGCAAGGGCCGCGTGGCTCTGCTCTCTGGAGGGGGCTCCGGCCACGAGCCCGCGCACGCTGGTGAGGTGGCCTCGCCCGGGAGCTCATCCGCCTCTCCCGCGTGCCGCACGCTGCCCTACGCTGCCCTGTGTCCCGTTGTGCAGGGTACATCGGGAAGGGCATGCTGACCGGCGTGGTGGCTGGCACGGTCTTTGCTTCTCCCGCTGTGGGCAGCATTCTGGCAGCCATCCGGGCAGTGACGCAGGCCGGGGCAGGTTTGGCAGCACGGCTGGGCGCGCGGCTTGACGGGGTTGCAGGGAGCTGTGACCGCAGCTTCACTTGGGCACCCTCTGCCTCCTCAGCGGGGACCCTCTTGATCGTGAAGAACTACACAGGAGACCGGCTGAACTTCGGGCTGGCGCTGGAGCGGATGCGGGCGGAGGGGGCCGACGTGCAGATGGTGGTGGTGGGCGATGACAGCGCTTTCGCCACGCAGAAGAAGGCAGGGCGCCGAGGGCTGTGCGGCACAGTGCTCATACACAAGGCGAGTAGTTGTGCAGTGCCCTTCTTTCCCCACAGCCTGCTCAGAGCCAGCTGGGGACTGCGGACACAGGGGCTGGCAGGTGGAGCCCAGGCCTGATGGGTCCCGGCAGCGCTGCCAGCGCCGTCGCGTTGCTGTGGGGCTGCAGGCTGCCAAGGGCTGCAGCGCTGAGTGCGCTGCCCACAGCCCTCCCACAGCTCTGCCCTTTGCAGGTGGCTGGGGCCTTGGCTGAGGCAGGAGCGAGCTTGGAGGAGATTGTAAGGACGGTGTCATCAGCCACCAAAGCCATGGGTACGTGTGTGGGACGCCGTCCCTCGGCACGGCTCTGGCGTCCCGTGTTGTCGCCAGAGCTGGCTTCCCAAGCCCCACAAGCCTGCGGGCAGCTCCGGGGCTGGCGCTGCTCGGAGCAGGGTGCTGGTACGTCTGGGGCTCCCTCGTCCCGCAGCTCCGTCCTGCCCCAGCTCTGCAGGGCTCGCAGCCTCCTCTGTCCCCATCCCTCCCTCCTCAGTAGCACTTTGCAACCACAGGACAGATAAGAGGTGCCAGCTCAGGGCGGACTTCAGCCCAGCGCAGGGTGGCCGTGCGTGCGGCTCGCGTGACTGCAGCGTGGCTGGGGCACGGCAGCCCTGCCGGGCCCTGCCTGGCTCCCTATCTCCTGCCACTGCCCTAGGGAACCGGCGTGTTTAACCCTTTCTTTTAACTCCTTTCTTCTCTCCTCATGCAGGCACGCTGGGCCTCAGCCTGTCCCCATGCAGCGTCCCCGGCTCCAAGCCCACCTTCCAGCTGGCTCACGATGAGATGGAGCTGGGCCTGGGTGAGGCCATGCTGCTTGTTCTGCTTGTCCCCTTCTGTGCTCAGCCTGCATGGCTTGCAGCGTGTCTCTCCGTGCCTGGCTGTTGGCTGTCACCCCCGCGGCCGAGGGCTGAGTGCCCCTGCACCTGCATGCCTGGTGGCACTCGTGGCATCACACAGTGTGGCCATGGGGACACAGGGTAGGTGGCAGCTGGCCTGAGAGGTGCCCCTGGGCGCGGGATGACGCGGCGCTGTCTTTGCAGGGATCCACGGCGAGGCTGGTGTGCGCAGGATGAAGGTGAGCGTGCTCCCGTAGCGCCTGCCCTCTCCTCGTGCTCCTCGGCGCTCCGCTCACGGCTCCCAGCTCCCCCCAGGTCATGTCGGCCGACGCAGCTGTGGAGGCCATGCTGGCACACATGACGGACCCTTCCAACGCCTCCCACCTGCCCCTGCACCCTGGTGAGTACCCCCAGCCCTCCCCAGCATGGCTGTCTTGTGGGGATGATGCCTGGGGCTCACCGCACGCCCCACTTTCCAGGCAGCTCCGTGGTGCTGGTGGTGAACAACCTGGGTGGCCTGTCCTGCCTGGAGCTGGCCATCGTGGCTGGCGCAGCAGTGCGCGGCCTGGGTGAGTACCTATAAGTACCTGAGTAAGTACCTCAAGGGAAGCAGTGAGGAGGATGGTGCTGCCTCTTTTCACTGGTGGCCGCTGACAGAACTAGAGCAAACGGCCAGAAACTGAAGCATCAAAAGTTCCACAGGAGCTTAAGGAAAAATTTCTTAACAGTGAGGGTGACAGAGCCCTGGAACAGGCTGCCCAGAGAGGTTGTGGAGTCTCCTTCTCTATTTCTTTATAGAACCTGGAGTCTCCTTCTCTGGAGATCTTCAAACCCGCTTGGACGCAGTCCTGGGCCACGTGCTCTAGGTGACCCTGCGTGTGCAGGGGGTTGGACTAGATGATCTCTAGAGGTCCCTTCCAACCTTAAGGATTCTGTGATTCTATGGTTCTATGAGTGTCGCTGAGTGGGATGGAGGCAGACAGGGGCGAGCAGGGCTCTGCCTGACTTCTCTGTGCCTGCAGAGAGCCGGCGCGTCCAGGTCTCCAGGGCCTTGGTGGGCTCCTTCATGACAGCACTGGAGATGGCCGGTGTCTCCCTCACGCTCATGCTGGTGGATGAGGAGCTCCTGAGGCTGATCGGTGAGTGTATGCGGGCGCAGGACAGGGACCTGTCGAGCAGGGCTCCCCCGAGGCATGGGTGTCCCGGGAGAGCTGCTGAGCGTGCAGGACCTCCTGCAGAGCTGGCACTCACCTGTTTCACCTTTCTCTGCTCTAGATGCCAAGACCACAGCCATGGCATGGCCCAACCTGGCTGCAGCACCTGCAAGGAGCCAGAGAGAGGAGGTGCCAGCGCCAAAGGAGGAAAAGGAGATGGTGCAGCCTGCGACAAGCACAGGTATGGGCAGCCCCAGGACTGCCCTCTGCCATGGCCCTGCAGGGCATGGCAGGGAGGTCCTGCTGTGCTGTGTCCCCTGGAAGCTGTCACCTTCCCATGCCACGGTGTCACCAGGCTTCCTGGGGCTGAGGGCAGGGTTCCTGTGCTGCTGCCCGCTGAGGTGGGGCCGTCTGCGTGATGGGACGCGGATGCTCAGGCCCGGGTTTGCACTCTGCAGGGCCTGGCGGGCAGCGGGCCCAGCTGGTCCTGGAGCACGTGTGCAGCGCTCTGCTTGGCATGGAGGACAAGCTCAACGAGCTGGACCGTGCTGCAGGTGATGGGGACTGCGGGCACACTCATGCCCGGGCAGCCCGAGGTGGGTAGCAGCACCTGGAGACGCATGGGGAGAGGGCTCCTTCCAGGATGCAGGGAGCCCTGTCAGACAGCATTTTCTGGGGAGTAGGGACCCCCCAAGCTGTTCTCTGCTGCTGGTGAGTGGAGTTTCCCCCTAACCCATCCCTTCCTGGAGAACAGGACCACCCTCAACCACCCCCAAGTTCCAAGGTGTCCCTGCACCCTGCCCTGCTCAGGGGTGATGAGAAACCCCAGATCTTGCACCCAGGAAGGGCAGGGATCCCCCAGCGGTTCCCAGGGCAGAGGGGTCCCTAGCTGCCCCTAGAGGAGTTGGGACCTCGGCCCTAGGGGAGGCAGGAGCCTCAGCCCCAGCCATCCCCGCACCGTGTTCCGGCAGCCATCCAGAGGTGGATGCGAG